TTAAATCAGGAAATACTAAGCAGAAAAACAAATCGTCAATCAATTTTGTATGAGAAAAACCATAACGATTCTAAAACCAGATCGCGAAATCAACAAGAAAAATTACGAACTACCGATTGAGATCGACTAAGAAATCAGAATTACCATCCAAGAATTTTTTTAAGAAATTCCCATATCAGGAAAAGAAAAACAAGACCTAAACCCCAAGCTAAAAAAAAATAGGTCATGCCTCAAGAATTTACTGGAGATTTCGTTGTTGCGTGAAGTCGTCCTAAAACCCCTGAATTCTCAGTTCATGCAATCTATCACGTAGCGCTCCACTGTCATAGTCCCTTGATCCATCTGCCCTGCCGCTGTAGAGTCCAAACTCAGCCCCTGCCTCCTCCTGTGGGAGGAACACGTTCGCTTCCCCATAGCCCGTGCTAATATAGGCCCTTGGCAAGCTGCACTGACCAGAAGAGATTTGGTGGGACACAATCACCTCCTTATCACTGCCCATATGCGATTGTGTTGTAAGAAACCACGTCAAGCTTGTTGACGCCACCTCACAGAGAGTTCAGTCCCTGCCCAATGATTCAGAGGCCGCTAAATCAAGAAGAAGGAGAGACAAAGTAAAAAGGGCAAGTATAGGAAATCCCCAACCATCGAGCCCTCACTCGCCCGACCCCCTTCTCCTCGGCACCATCCCGATTCCACTCCACTGCAACCGACGACCTGCCATCGCTCGTCCCCCTCCTATCTTGCCTCCACGAAATCTCCAACGCATGTCATCGCACGGCATCGCCGTCTTACGCCCATCGTGCTACTTTGTGTTGCTTTGTTCACGCTTCACTCCGCGCTCGCCTCGCCACGCCGTGCTCCATCGTGCTCCCGCGATTCCTGTACCGGACGGGGCGCAGCGCTCCTGGCCTCGCTGCGCCCCATCTCGTTATGCAAATCCACAACGGTGATACTTAGGGTGTTTCTATGGATTCTTAAATTTTCATATTTTTCTGTGAATTCCTCCGAGCACAAAAAATCACCAAAGTTGTCTCTTGAAGAACGCCTGTTTTTGTTATGCCTCCCCATTTTTTCCCAGAGTCGACCGCCCTGTTTTGAGAAGACGGCCTCAACGCCTGGGCCTGAGGGCCCTTTTGCAGTTCACATGCAACGGAGGATCGGTCCTCCAATTTTGTTTTGCTACTGCGCTGGTTCTACGCGCGCTGGTTGTAGGTAGCCCGTAAAAATGCGGTGGACCGGTCCCCCAACAACTTTCACCCCATTAGAACCCACTTGTGCGCCGGTCTCCCGCCGCTGAAAATGTGCCACCTTGACACACACGCCGAAGCCTACTATACCGCAGTCTTAGGGTTGCGAGCAGATGGGCCAGGCACCTGAACCTACATGTGGAGCGATCCCTCATGAAAACAAGGTTAGGCCGGCAAAAGTCATGTCTTTGCAGTCACGGTGGCAGATTGCCCACTGCTGATAGATCATACTCAGAGTCTGTTGGAACAAAAAGGGAAAGTGCTCCCATGGTGGCAGAGGTGCTTTACTGCCTTCCCCATGCATAAACGGAACGAGACCATTGAACATATCTTCATGCAGTGCCCACTGGCACTGCTAACGTGGTGTTGGTGGGATCGCATATGGTGTGAAGACGGTGCCTGACACCCCCTGCCCATGGTCTTGGCAGGCCATATTGACTTACCGTGAGGGCACGGGTGCACAGCCCGTAGTTCGTTTGTTTATGTGGTTCGGGAAGGGTAAGGTAGTGAATATGTTGTATGTATGTTTTGTCATGTTTGCTATACACAACTCAAAGAGAGTGTGTGTGTGGGGTCCCGGTTGATGTCTTATTCAGGATGTTCATGGGACGCTGGACCCAGTTTCCCGCAGGTGGCGCTCCCCATCAGTGGACAGGAGAATGTATGTGCATGTGTGTGTGTGTGTGGTGTGTGTGTGTGTGTGTGTGTGTGTGTGTGAGAGAGAGAGAGAGAGAGAGAGAGAGAGAGAGAGAGC